GGGCAATCGCTTTCTTTTTTATTTTATTATTTTTTCTGTGTCTGCACGTGAAATATTTAAAGGCATTGCCTTTCGGGCTGGGAGCATGTGTTTGTGGGCATAGAAAATACATATTATTTTGCGTTTGAAGTCCTTAATCGATGGGTTTCTCTGAATCTTAGAATTTCAAACACTGAAAGTGATCCAACATGTGCCATAGCTTGGCTGTTTGAGTCTCGGGCTATTCTACAGAATTTTAAATATCATAATTGTCCCAGATTTTATGGCTATGTAAATATTCACACCCTCTTCTATAAATTGTAATGATTTGGTGTCACAATTCAAGATTACAGGTTTTTGCTATTGCGCCGCAGGTAGAATCTATAGTGGCTGCAGGGTTTCCATTCGACCTATAATGAGTAACTCACCACTCATTTCACTTCCCTGAAATTCGATGTCACAATTAGGGCTCTCTTTTCGATTTCAGAATCAGGCCTTTTTTTGTCTGTACCATCTCATCTGCACATTCTCATCTGTACTGTGTCAGTCGTTTTAATTTTTACTATTTTCTCAGCACTGTCTTGTATGTATAATCTGTACCGTTACATATGTACCATGCCCTTTCATTTCTTCAACAGCCTTAAATAAACATTTGCATAAAATGTGCATGAATCATTGATCCTCAGACACAATTCAACGCAGAAATCATGAGCTTATCATTGATTCTCAGACACAATTAAACGCATATATCATGAGCTTAAGAACATATTTTAGTCAATGCATCAATGACTTCTTCCATTCCCATTACTTTGGCTCCTTGAGCCTTTGGAGTTATCACTGAATTTGAGACATCTCAAACATGTCTTCGATTTCATTTTTGAATTTCAGGCTCTTCAGTATCATGAATGTGCCTTAGTCTGGCTTAGACTAAGAAACACGTGTTTTTTCTTTGAAATTAAGGAATATGCAACTCTAAAAACAAACATCTTTTTCGATATTCTTAGTTTTTTCGGTAAAGTCACGTTGAAGAGAAACAACAAAATAACAAAATATATATAAAACAATAAAAATTCTCACGACGTTTCGACCATAACTCAAACGGTCATCATCATCTTCTGTTGATATGTAAACTCCTTTGTCAATCCGCTCTGCTCCTCCCACCCAGCTTAAAAGACGCTGCCAAGCTTAGCAGTGTTCATTGGAGCGCTGTCGTCCCGACAGTTCTGTTTCTTCACCTGAGGAAGGCTACTTGTGTTGTGGCCGAAACGTCGTGAGAATTGTATTTTATTATGTTTTATTTTTTATTATTTCCCTTCTACGTGACTTTACCGAAAAAACTAAGAATATGAATTACTGCAGTCACGAAAGCTTTAAATCAAAATCTTTTTCGATTTAAAGCTTTCGTGACTGCAGGGAATCATCTTCTTGGTTCTTTCGGTAAAGTCACGTAGAAGGGAAATAATAAAAAATAAAACATAATAAAATACAATTCTCACGACGTTTCGGCCACAACACAAGTAGCCTTCCTCAGGTGAAGAAACAGAACTGTCGGGACGACAGCGCTCCAATGAACACTGCTAAGCTTGGCAGCGTCTTTTAAGCTGGGTGGGAGGAGCAGAGCGGATTGACAAAGGAGTTTACATATCAACAGAAGAATTTAGCATTGAAATAGCTGTGTTAATGTGATAGATTAGCAGGATGTTAAAGTCAGAAATTAGCATGTAACTGGGAGATTAGCATGATGTTAGTGTGATGGATTAGCATGTAACTGGTCACGGAAATAGCTATGTTAAAGTCAGAGTTTACATATCAACAGAGGCATTTAGTATATTGACGCTAAATAACTGCAACTACCAAACTATCATACAATAATATTCATATTCTTAGTTTTTTTCGGTAAAGTCACGTTGAAGGGAAACAACAAAATAATAAAATATATATAAAACAATTAAAAAATTCTCACGACGTTTCGACCATAACTCAAACGGTCGTCTTCAGGTGTGTTGGTTTGCATAAATTTATTTTTAAACGGCACATTTATTTATAAATGTATTTATAAATAAATAAAATTTATAAATAAATAAATTTTGGTTATGTCGAAACGTGAGAATTTTTTATTGTTTTATATATATTTTATTATTTTGTTGTTTCCCTTCAACGTGACTTTACCGAAAAAACTAAGAATATGAATTACTGCGGTCACGAAAGCTTTAAATCAAAATATCATACAATAAACCGATGTGAAAGAACTAAATATAAACTACATCAATATAATCAATGTACTCAATATATTCTCCAATAAGCTGAGCTATTAACATAAAGTAACTGGGTATACACTACACTATAATGAATACCATATAGTAAACTGATAAAAAACTAAAATATAAACTACATCAATATTATATTCTTAGTTTTTTCGGTAAAGTCACGTTGAAGAGAAACAACAAAATAACAAAATATATATAAAACAATAAAATCAGGTGATGATGACCGTTTGAGTTATGGTCGAAACGTCGTGAGAATTTTTTATTGTTTTATATATATTTTGTTATTTTGTTGTTTCTCTTCAACGTGACTTTACCGAAAAAACTAAGAATATGAATTACTGCAGTCACGAAAGCTTTAAATCAAAATTTACATCAATATTATCAATAAACTCAATATACTCTCCAATCAGCTGAGCTACTAACAATAAGTCATTATACATTACAATTCTATGTCGAAAAAAGTGGCGGTTTCTTTTTTCCTCAACGTTAGCACCACGGAAAGCGACGAGCTTTGTTCAGACGGACGAGTCCATCTATGCTCGGAACGGAGGAGGGGGGAGAGAGAGAAACAGCCACGATGCGCTGCTCTGTCCTGTGTTGCGTTACAACTATGTTATAAACTAGACTACTATACATTGCAATGTTATACCTTCCAATCTAAACTACATTGTATAATATCGTATACACAGCCCAATGTAAGCTTTAACATTATACACTATATTGATATGCCTCCAATTAAACTTTTTTCTACATTACACGACTATACACCGTAATATACACTGCCATAGACAAACCCCACCCTTGAATTATACAATGCGTTACTATACACTACCCTATACTTTAGACTATAAAAATATTAGACTTGTAATATTACACTATGTATTATTCTAACAACCCTACTGGATACCACACTGCTGTATATTCACTATACAATTACGATATTACAGTATTTATTGCCTTTTGAATTATGTTAAACATTACACTGTTATACTATTTATTACTATACAATATGCTATAAACCATACCATTGACCGTCGTGTGAAAGGTACTAAGAGGCAGTGCCAGCGAATGGACTGTGGTCTGAAAGTCACCGTAAAATACAATAAATCAAGAACCGAAATGGTTTATCACGTCTTTCCAATGATTACTAAGCCAGAATCCATCTTCTCGGTTGAAATTGTCTCTGTGTTTGTATATGTGGATGGCCTCATTAATGAATCTCTCATGGCAGCCGGATGGCTTGCAGAGAGACCTCCGTCTTGGAGAAGTCGATGTCATGTGAGCCCACTGAATTATAACAGTGATCTTCCACGGCTGAGGTGTTCGTTCTACCGTGTTTCAAGTCTGTTTTATGTTCACGGATGCAGTCTGAGACATGTCGTTTGGTTTCTACAATGTAACTGCTACCACAGAGGCAACTTAGTTTGTAGACGCCCGGGTACTGTATGTCTGTAACCACATCTTTTACAGACGGAACTTTACCGAAATAACCAAGAAAATAAACACATTTTTCTGCAATAATTACACACCTATGCTGTGTATTCTGGGCTGACTGACATGAGTTCTTTGTTGAGAAAAAAAATACGTTAAATTCACAATCCCTCCAATACTTTTCAACACATCATTAAAATCACATTGAGGAGCAAGCTTCTGAATGTCATTTTTGTGGAAAGAGACTTTGAAAGCATAGTCAGGAGTGTGCTCAAGTAGCATCGCTCCAGTGATGAATTGCATTTTCAAAATGATTTTCAGAAACATGCCTGTGAGTTGCAGACACTTGTGCAACTTTTGTTTCGCCCGTGTCGCAGCACATGACAAATGGAGCAACACATACAGCAACATTGTTGCAAGAATATGTATTGTCTGATTTCGGCTAAATAGTATGGTAAAATCCTGTTTGCTACTCATTCTCCAATTCTGCCTCCACCTCTCATTCACTCTTTCTCAGCTCTGCCTTCATTCTCTCCCCACTCGGCGTTGCACTCAATCTCATGCTCTCCTCTTCTCCCCTCCCTCCTTTACTCACTTCACCTCTGCTTTCTCATTCATCGACAATAGTATTTCATGAATAGCAATACTAATGCATGCAGTCAATTATACATTTGTAGCAGGACTTGTGAGAAATTGCCCTTCATTGTTTCGTATGTTTAAAAAAGTTACTTGTTCGATGGAATCTCTTTCTATGTGCTCGTTCTCTTAACACACGGGGTTGCATTACTCTGCAGTATTTATGAATGAATGCTTTGTCCAAACACACGAGATGTCAACAGCTCAATTGAACAGAAATTGTCAAAAGACCCAAAAAGCAATAGTTAAAATATGAACTTTATAAATAATTACGTACCGTAGTTCTGTGGGAGTCATCAAGCAGAAGCCATTCTCCATCATCGTGTGATGTTACTGCTGTTAGTGAGGGTTCTAAATGGCAATGTCTTCATCTCGTGACAAAATGTCACCCACATAATATAGTATGTTTTAGGGATAAGAGAGGAAAATATTTTTAATGTCACAGTAGACTGTCGCCTATTAGAATAAAATTAGTTTTGCTTGTTGAAAGTAATTGAGTTCTCACATGATACTCAATTCCTGTGTTAATTTTGTAAATGATCCACTTTGCTGTGGTACATTAGCTTGTTGATACATGTGGCCTGTGAGTAAATTATGTAACCATTGTGTGGTTTTGTGTTTCCTCTCAACATATCTTCCCCATTCCCTTTTTTCTCTCTCCTCTCCCTGTTTCTCTGTCTCTCACAGGCAGTACTCCAATACGAGGTAAGGCTGATGTCACGATGTGATTCCCATTTATATCTTCCTTGTCAATGGAAGGCCCGAAGATCGTTTTTATTTTCAACTTGAGGTCAACTGGCACCTTTTGAGACTCCACTTCAGGAGGCTTGAGTCTTAAAATCAGCGTTGTTTTGGGACCTTTCCCATATCATGATTATAATTACTGCATCGCAATCATTATTAATCCCTCATCTTGCCATCCCTGTAACTGCAGGGGCCCTACAAATTGAGAACAGCCAGGATTCGGACCAAGGCAAATACGAGTGTGTGGCTACAAACAGTGTGGGTACACGCTTCTCTGCGCCAGCCAAGCTCTTCGTTAAAGGTACGAATGCTTAACCGAGTGATAGGTCGATTGTGTCTGTGCCAGGATGACGCTGTCTCCTCACCCCATCGTGATGTTATTAAGCTTTTGGCTTAGTCATATGGGGTCTCTAGGGCTCGCTTCGTTTGTCTGCCCAACCAAGCTTCCTCCTAGGTTTCATGGCCAAACTAGGAAATTTGCCCTTGCTTTAGGCCTCAGCTCAGGCACTTTTAAATTTGCACGGAGTTTGCGAAACAATAATAATTTATATAAAGGAAGATGCTATCCAAGGAACAAAAGGCTATTCCATTTTTGATATGTACCCAGGTTCTGTGTCCTGAACTGTCCAAGATGAGTTTAAAGCTCCGTAAATGAGTATAAGGACTTAAAAATTATGGTCAGGAACATGATTTGATTGTGAAATCATGTCACGAGAGTGTTATGATGATGTGCTTGACCACAACTTGAAAGTCTTTTTTTCTCACGAATGAAGCTTCAAGCTAATTTTGGACAGCCTAGGACACACATTCAAGGTGTGTATCTACAATATAAGAGCCATTTGTTTGTTGGATTTTTTGTTAATCGTATGAGAGAATGTTGAGCTAATTTGTGAACAAATAAACTATATTCTTGGTTATTCTTAGTTTTTTCGGTAAAGTCACGTTGAAGAGAAACAACAAAATATATATATAAAACAATAAAAAATTCTCACGACGTTTCGACCATAACTGCAAACCAACACACCTGATGATGACCGTTTGAGTTATGGTCGAAACGTCGTGAGAATTTTATGCAAACCAACACACCTGATGATGACCGTTTGAGTTATGGTCGAAACGTCGTGAGAATTTTTTATTGTTTTATATATCTTTTTATTTTGTTGTTTCTCTTCAACGTGACTTTACCGAAAAAACTAAGAATATGAATTACTGCAGTCACGAAAGCTTTAAATCAAAATTTATATTCTTGGTTCTTTCGGTAAAGTCACGTAGAAGCGAAACAATAAAATTATTATGCAACATATTTACAACGTAATATTTCCCCTTCTACGTGACTTTACCGAAAGAACCAAGAATATGAATCCCTGCAGTCACGAAAGCTTTAAATCAAAACAAATAAACTGTTAAGTTTTAACGTTGAAATTTTTAACTGCTGATAAATCATAAATACATATTTTGTTAAGGTATAACCTGAGCTATGATCTGACTCGTTAATTATTGATTGGCCATTTTCACTCATTGACCGTGGGTTATAATTAAAGGTTTCATATGTTGAAAAGGAATATTTTTACATATATAATAATTTGAGATTAATATCTTAATTAGATTTAAAAAATATTACCTACTTTGAGCTCTTACTTGACACCTTGACTTTCATTAGGTATTTTAATATACGGTACAGTATTACAGTGACTTAGAGGTGCATATGAAATAGTGAATATGAAATTGTTTTTATTAAATGCAATAACATTGTATGCAACATATTTACAACATAATATTTTACCACGTGTTTTCCAATTATCTTGTGGCGCTGCGGTTCACGCGCATGAATAAAGTGGCAAGATCAACCAACATCCGATGGGGGTTGACTTAGCATATCATGCCTCCAAAGGTCAACAAAATGAGTACGACCTTGTTGGAAGTCAACAATGGTTATCCTTGGGAATGAATGTCCCTCAACTTAGGAATCGCTGGCTCAGGTTGCACCGGTTGGACTTAACCTTGACTCGCTATTTTAAATCAATGTGTCATCTGCTGTAAAGTGGATGTTTAAAACCCTGTGACATTATTCGCGATAAACAGGCGAGCCATGGGTGACATCACAGCCCAGTCGTCAAATTTCCTTGAAAAATAACCACAGTGTCGCAGTCAATCTCAATCAGCTCTCACCTACTTAAACAAAGGGCACAAGTGGTGGTTAATTTAAATGTTACTTATAAAAACGTGTTTATTTCTGCGAGTCACTCACTCCATACAAAGTCAGCACCATTGAGGTATCAGATCAAACCCTGGAGCCGAGTGTCTTTCTATGCCTGTGCTCAAGGTTTCATATTAGCTGTGTTGGAGACACTGAGCTGGCATCGTTGAGATCACGGATTGGATCTCGGTCTCCACCCACCTGCGATAAAAGCAGGTCGTCATGTGTAGTGAGTTTAATATCTAATCCCATGAATCAATGACAGTAACATTTTCGAAAATAACACATCACAGATTGGTTTTCTCACTTATTTGTGCTGAGGCCAGCTCATATACATAAAACAATTGAGTATGGGTTTATTGACACACGGTGCACCACTCTTATTATGATCGCCATTTCGTGTTGGCTTAGAGAGGCCTATTACAATATTGAAGTCGTGGCTTCTATTATAGTGGGGTCTGTGGCGTCATCTTCCAGGGCTGTTGCTTCACATGAAGTTATCTTAAAGAGGCTCTGATGCCTGTTAGATAAATTGGCTTTGCCTAAACATAACAAACCTCTCATGGAAGATGGAACCTAATAAACAAACAACTCTTATATTTGAGATACATACCTTAGTTTTGTGTTCCTAACTGACAGGAGCATGAATTTTCGTGCAAACAACTATTTGAATGCTCTTGTGATGTCAATAAAGGGACGTATTGAAATATATGCGATTGACTTTAATTTTAAATTCGTTTTTCTCACAAACGAAGCTTGAAACTTGTCTCTGAGAACACGGGACACACACCCTAGGTATGTATCTAAAAGATAAGAGCCGTTTATTTTCTCAATTTCATCTGTAAAGGAGGTCGTTGTGTCTTCACATGCATGGTGTCAGGATTCCACAGTAACTCGAGGCAGCCTTTAATTTCACAGATCCCCGAGTCATTTTCCGAATCGCGCTGTATCTTAATGCGTTTGAATGCTGGCATTTTTTACTCTCTATGTTTTCCCTCGATGTTGTTCTTTTCAACCCCTTTCCCTGACCTCCCCGAATGCTCCCATCCCTCCCTCTCCCCCTGCGTTCTCTGCATTTCCCTGGTTTTTTTTCCTCCTCCCATTCCATGTCATAAAAACGCTAACCACAACACCACCACCACCTCTCCCCTCATCTCCCTTCAGGACTCCGAAAAGGTCAGTGTCTGTGTGTTTAGTGTAGTGCCTGGTTTCGTTTGGGTACCCCCCCCCCTCCTAAATGCATCATACGATCTTCTGGCCGAATTTCAGTCGGTGAACATACATTTAAAAAAAATAGTTTTATTGATTTCACGAGGTCTCCGCGGGATCGCCGTTTAAATTTACAATTCCATCAAATAAAAAAAACTCTTGAAATACAAATATTAAATTCAATAAAATTTAATCAAGGATCGTTTTGATTGTCGGTCGTTTGACGGTGAATGTTGTTGCATGTGCATGCCTAAATATAAAACACAACCGCTTACTTATTGAGCAGACACATTACCGGTGTAATGACAAGGACAGCAGTGGTGGGTGTGTAAGTTACGCTGAATGCATGTGTTGGGATGTGCATGTGAGCGAGAATTTCCTCCGTACATGGGCAATTTTTTTAAAATCTCTATATGACACGGGGTAACGTTTACATCGCTGCACTTCATCCATCTACTAATGCCACCTACATAGTGTGAATATTCCTGTGTGCCTGTGGATATATTGTGGGTATGGGGAGCGTTGGCACAGTGGTTCGTGCACTGTCACGAACCCGCCGACCAAGGTTCGATTCCCGGCCATGGATAATATCAGTGGCAAGTGTTATCTGAACCTGTCCTGGGCCTCTCCTAGGTCAACTGAGTATTTGCGGCAGTGTGTTAACATCAGCCAATGGGGAGACAGAGGTGGCCAGTCATAAAAATTGCAACACTAACTCCTCGTGCCCCATTCTGGCCTTTAAAGGTGCTCGCAAACAGCGCTTGGTGCCTGTAAAGCTGTGTGTATGTATGAATCAGAGTTCAAATTAACGAACAAAACAGCTTGCAAAATCACTCTCTTTCCTTATTGGAATTCAGCCAATTAATTGCACACCTAGTGAATAGGAACGTTTATGCAGTATTCTGAGTCCTATATTGAGAAACCTTGTTGAATTTCCAAACTACATTAGAAATCTCCTGCATTGAAATGTGGGGCCAATTTGCATTTTTTATGTATTATGTAATGTGTATATGAAGTAGGGACTTAACTGGTGTTCATAATGACTTTGGTGGGTTTTTTTAAGAAACAAAAACTACAAAGTGACTTTGCAAATTGTTTGAACATTGTTCATGTCATTACATACTTTCAGCAGCATACACAACAATCGCAGGTTCGGAGGTAGCTGGCTGGCTCAATGTGTCCGTAATGCATGTGATATAGACACTGGGCCAGCATCACTGAGATCCTGGTTTTGAATCTGGGTTTAACCACCTATGATGAAACTGGGTTTTCAAGTGTAATTAGTTGATGATCTGAGCCTGGTTAAAGTATGACTGCCAAGTGAGAAACAACCTATGCCGGGAATAAAACAAATCTGTGTTCCTATTGTAGATTTGTAATTCTTTGAACTGAAATGTCTTGGCAGTTCTCTGACTTGAGGTGATGTTAAAAACATATTTCAGCAAATTTCCAAATGGAAATGTTATAGTCTCATTACAATACGATGCCAATAGTGCAATCTAAATATAATTTAGAGAATTTGAATACAGGCGGTTCCCATTTTTACGATACAATGAGTTCCTGGAAACTCCGTCGTAAATCGGACCCTATTTTCCCATAGACAGTAGAAACAGTAAAAGCATCACGTCCCGGTGCGTTTTTATTTCATCAGCCATATTTAACAGGGTTTAAAAGGTAAAAATGCACAAAAACACTTGAGAGTAACAAAAGCTTCACGCCAAGTCACATCGAAACCAGACTGACTCTGTTCAAATGTGTTCAGAGTCATGTCGGAAGATGCGTCGTAAATCAAATTTCTGCGTCGCAAATCGATCCATGGTGGCATATTAACGTCATAAATGTGGATTGTAGTAAATCGGACCTTCATAAACCGGAGACTGTCTATATTGAAAAGCAAACACCTCCCCCTTCCTTATTTCATCACTTTCTCATCATGATCATCATCCCAACACACGGTTCTGACATAGGGAGAAGTGGAGTTATTTTATAAAAACAATCTAATTAAAAATTTCCGACCGTCGTTTGCCCGTCCGAACAACTGCACGTGTCTCGTCTGCTGTGCATGTGTCGGTAATGCATGTGTTGTTTGTAATCTGAGCATGTGTTGTAAGTGCAAGCTTGCTGTTGCCTTTGACTTTACTGCATGCCCTGCCCGTATACAAAGCAAAATAATACAATATTAGGAGGTTTGTGGACAAGCATTCCGATGTTTACTTTACTTACTGTAAATATGTGAACATGAAGAGTATAAATTACCCTAAATCAATGCAATGGCATTCAAGGTGTTGTTATTTTTTTACATTCCAGTGCTTGGAGGAACTGATCCCCACTATAGGGATGTGGAATTTTTACCATTAGCCCATGGCCACCAGTGGAGATGGGTGCTGCCCTTTGCTGACTGGAGCAGGGAGACGTTTGGACTTTATACACAGGACAAAATTACACGAGAATACAGCAGATTACATTTATTGTGAATTGTGCTCAACATAGGTCTCGTCATACTGAACTATTATAAGACTGCCATCGCAGACTTCCCTTTGCTCATTGCTTCACTCTTGTCTTCTTCCCCCACTTATTTGACCAACATCTGCTGCTGACATCTGCGGGACCCATACCACCGTCCCAATTCTCAATGCGTAGTGTGAACTGGACATTAAAACATTTAGGCCTCACCCTATGGTATCAAATTGGCATAAAAACTCACAGGACCAATACATACCTTTGACATTTTGTAAGTGGATAAATGTAGGGCCTGCTGGGTTTGTGAGTAAACACTTTTTAGTGGTGGTATCAATGTTGCTGGGGGTTTTTTATTCCTGTGTGAACCTTTTGCTGATTTGTCATTGGAATGGCCCAATACCTTGTTTCCTCTGTGCTTTATTTGTCATGGAGGATTTTTGCTGTTTAGTCATTTTGAGACAACATTTATACGTTGAATGGAGAACTCTAGAAGCAGTGGTGCACCATGCCCTTTCAAGGGAACATTTTTGTGTGAAGGAACAGATTGCACTTGCAATAACTGCAGAGCAATACTTAAGCACCATTGTACAGCCCTGTTATTCTGACGCTATGCTTGTGTGCATTTTTCGGCTCGGATTAGCAAGGTTGGCTACATACGGTGCGAAAAAAGTTCAACATGCATACACATAAAAATGAATGACATACAGTGAACACATTTACAGTACACATTAAATAAGCATGAATAATTCATGCTTATTATTAATGCTTTTTTAATAATTATAAATTATTATAATTATTAGTGAGTGACAAATTATCGACAGTTCACAGTTGTCATTATTAGGTTTACAGTGGTGGGAAAGGGCCTAATTAATAGTACCTAGGAACACAGTCGACTGTGAGCAATATTACGAAGGGGCTAATGCATAATTCAGCGTGGATAACAACGGGTGCATTTGGACAAGTTGTGCAAATGCTCTGTACTCTTCCTTTTCAGTTAACAACCTGGACTTTTTGGTTTGTTAAAACTTAAGGCCTAAATACGTAATGAGTTCCCACGGGGAACAAGTGCAGCACACAACATTCTATGGAAGGGAAGTGAAAAACCGTGTTATGTACTATAGTGCCATCATAAACTACAATAATTATCTAAAATTATGTTTCAGTCATCCGTTACGTTTCCGGCAAGAATACAGGTGTTAAGATGTTCAAACACCAAATAGACACCTATTATAAGGCATCTAGTCTGCACTAACCACACTTCTTGTGGGAAAAAGTGCAAACAAATACACTTTGATAATATATGCACTGTCCTTGAAACTGATTGGCCTTCACCAGAGATCGCCTCTTTTATGGCTTTGTCTCACCAGTGTGAGACCAAAGGCTGCCAAAGCGTGCAACAGTACAAGGATAATGCAAACACCAAAGCATTAATAACTCATGTTAAGCGGTTATCATACAATATCTTGATACTGACAAAAGGGTCTCATAGATACATCCATTACACATTAAAGATGTTTATGTGATACAACGCATGGTACACCATTGTTTAAAATCAAAGCACATTCTTCCTATTTGGGTTTTTTTTCTCCTTTTGGCATCAAGAGCACAGGTTAGCGATTGTTTTTTGCTGCTTGCTATATGACCCTTTACTCACAATAATCCTTCTGCGGTCAATAGAACGATTAGCACCGTTTTTTGGTAAGTCAGCAGTATTTGTCTTATTTATAGCCTGGTCCCCGTCATGGGCATGCGTTATGACTACCCTCTAGCCCGTGGCCACCAGCATCGATGAACACCGCCCATGGATTATTTGAGGAGGGTAGACACTTTGACTTGATTTTAAATGATCACATTAATACGAATGCGATTCTGATATCACACAGCGTTTAATTTACATCTTTATATTGCACGCAAATAACATACATTAAGTTTTCCATTTACCATAATACTAATTGGCACTGTAAGATACACCCTTAAAGGATACTTTTGACAGATAGCACAGAGCTAAATAATCACTCATTAGCACTGCCAAACATTGTATGTTATTTGTGTATTTGTACTTATGTAATATAGATATGTGTTCATATTCAGCATGTAAATGCTATGACTGTTTGGGGAAGTCAACAGTGGTTCTATTAGAGGGACTGACCCCTGCCATAGGAATGTGAAATTGTCACTGCTGATTCAGGGTCGCCAATGGAGATGAGTGCTGGCCCCACAACTCGTTTGAGCAGGAAGCAATTGATTTTCTGACTGTTTATAATTTACAATTAGTTACATGATTATAATATGTGCTTGCATGTATTCAGGTCACTATCATTGAGTTTCCAATTCTATGTTTTGCCCGAAGAGGTGATGGTTATTTCATTAAAGCCATTATCCCACTCAAGAGCAGCACATCATCTTACATGTCCTTAATTTATGTATTTGCTTTTGTCTTTAGGATGCAGTGAAAAAGAAGAACAGATTTATCTTTAATATATATTTTTCTAAGCGGAGTAATTTCTCCTACCTCTAATTGGAAACCAATTAAGTGACTGCCTGTGTATCACAATGTGGTCCACATGTATGTGTGTGTGCGTGCACACATACATACATATTGATATGCACTTATTGAAGTGTATACGGCATAGCATTGTGATGTGCGTGCACACTGATGTGTGCATTTGATGCATATGCACGCTGCTATGCATCAACAGTGAGATCTGTGTGCACTGAATCACATGCAAGAGAGCGCACGTGCATACGCACATGTGCATTATTAAAAGAAGACACTCCTAGCCTGGCCATTTTATGTCTTGATTGAGACTCGGCTCCAGAAAAACGCATATCGGGATTGGAATCTTCATTGAAATTCAGCTGCAGGAAACCGGGTCTTAGGATGAGATTCAATGAAGGCTCCAGATTCAATCAACACTCTAATCCTGAAACCCAGTCTCCTAGAGCCACATCTCAATCAAGACTCTTGGTCACAGAAAAGTGGCTTGGTTTTTCCACTGCCTTCAGTTAATTTGTTCGCATGTATGTGAATGCGAACATGTGTTTGTGATTGTGTGACTTAATTACTTTGCTTTGAATGCAGGTTCCCACACACACAAACACACAGCTGGGTGTCTCCTAGTTTCTGTCTATGTATGTGTGTGAATGTGCCCGGAGTTCGATTCCCGCTCATGACCAACACCGGTCATAAATTGATTAACTGGTTCTAGGCTTCCCCTAGATCGACTCAGCCTAAAATGTTTATCTGGTGCGGTGTGTAAATATTGCCACTCGTGAGACAGAGGCAAACGGGCGTGGAACTAGCCACCCACCTCCCTCGTGTGCTGTGTCGGCCTGCATAGGTGCTCGCTAACAGCACTTGCCCAAACAGTATTTTAAGGCTATACAGGTGATCTTCATCTTTGGTGTAATGGTTAGCGCAATGCACTACAAATCTAGTGACTTGAGTCTAATTCCCAGCCATGAATAACGTGAATGGCAAGGGGTGTCTGAACCTCAGCCTTAAATAAGTACTTGATGCGATGTATAAATATTAACACTGGGGAGATGAAAACGACCAGTTGTGGTGCTGGCAACACCACCAATGGACTTAACAGGTGCTCACTAACACCACTTGTCCCAAGGGTTTATAAGTCTAAATGGAAACGCTTTGTCTGTTTTGTACATGTTTGTGTGTGTCTATGCTTGCGCCTATTGTGTGTGCCTGTTTCTGTACGCGTGTACGTTTGTGTGTGCGTGCCCGTGTGAGTTTACGTGTGTGTGTGCGTATGTGTGTGGGAGCATGTTAATAATACATAGGGTTATGCACATTGATGTCATATGTGTCATCTGCATAAAATTGCATGTGCATGCATTTGATAATGTTTTACTAATACGTGTCAATGTGAATGCACGCGTAAATGTATTTTAATGCATTGGGTTAACGTGTGTGTATATTAAAATGTGCTTACATATAGTATTCATATTTGTGCATGCTTTGTGTGTGTGCATTTGCTTCTACATTTGAAAATGCTTGCTCCTGTGTATGTGTGTCTGTGTATGTATGAGAGCCTCCGTGTTTGTGCTTGTTTGCACGTTTGTGCATTAATCTGTGTGTAAGTATGCATTGTTTGAGTATGCTTGCATACATATGAATACAAAATTGTGAATTTTCTTCAACCCATTCTGTTTCTGGCCCCATGTGTCTTGTATATGTGTGTGTATGTGTATTGCATAAACAGTCAAACTCTTTATCTGGGGTAAACGGGAGAACAGGTACCCGGTTCCTAATATCCATGGTTCCAACTGGGCATTGACTTTTATCCAGGGGCCGTGGATTTCTCCGGATAATTATAAGAATTTGCCGAATGATTTCACTTATCTATGGTCTAGATCCCGGATAATTGGAAGAATTTTGCCAAATAACTCGGCTTATTCGTGATCCCGAGTGTGGATATTTGGAAGAGCCCTGCCCACCTGTGGCATGTGACAAAGCTAACCAATTGGGGCGCGGGCAGCAGGCAAGGCCGTGGGGACCCTCGAGGTCGTTCTGTGACGAAGGTTTACGTCACGGAACGAGGTCGCGATCATCACGTGCTTGCCCCTCAGGCACCAGTCCTACGCAGTCTCTGCTAACAGGATGGCAAGCGAGCTCCCCTTCTCATACCCATCCCTCGAAAGCAATTTCCCACCTGCAGCAGCACTTGCATTGCATGCAGTGCTTGGATATTTGGATGGCCAGATATTTTGAATAGAGAATCGGGTTTTGCGGATAATTGGGTCACGGTTAAACAGTTTTCTGGCATCTGTACACTGTAAGTATGTACCCGTTGTATCCTATATGTGTGTGCCTATGTGTTTGTCTCACAAATGTAAGTATGCGTATGTCTCCCATGCCTGTATGTGTTCGTCTCGTGTTTGTGTCTCCTGTACATGCATGGATACAAACCTGTCTTCTCTCTTGTGTTTTCTGTATATGTGTGTGCCCTGTATGTGTATTAGTTTGTGCATATCCAGCATGTGTGTGCCCTGGTATGTGCATGCATATGTCTCCCGTACGTGTCTCCTGTTTGTGCATGTACGTCTCCTGTATGTAGACATGTGTGCCATGTACCCACAGTGTTCTGTGCATGTGTCGTGCAGTGCGAACCATCCCCCCTCGCTTCACCATCGTCCCAACCAACCAGGAGGTGGTGCCTGGCGGTAGCATCAACATCACCTGTGTGGCCATGGGCTCCCCCATGCCCTTCGTCAAGTGGATGCTTGGCACGCAGGTGAGGCAGCCTGGGTCCCACAATACTTGACTCCAGGTGACTGGGTTTTGAAATCAGTCTCAGCTCCAGGAGACTGGGTTTTGTGATCAGAGTCTTATGTACACTGTCTATATTTGTATATTAAATAACAGGTTAGTTAAAAACAATAGTGCTCTTTAGCTGAAACGTCAGGATCTTTTATTTACTAGAAGTTCACTACAACAGCATATTGATAACCTACGTTTGTAAATGTGTAAATATATTTACATGTGTTGCATTATGGGTCAGAAAACGGGACTCGAATGCAACAACTAAAATAAGGAATTTCTGGTTATTGCATGTGTAGTGACATATCGTTGACTGTTGTACAGCAGCTGCAGGTGGGCACTTAGCGCACACGCCACTTAGCATATACGCGGTGTGCTGTCAGGGTGGAGGAACTGGGGCAAGGGTCATGGTCGACCTCGTGGGGAAGCCCCTGGAACCCTCTGGGGGGTTTGAGAAGGGAGGCGCGGCTAAGGTGCAGCCAAGCCGCACCGAGGGGAATATAAGCAGCGGAGAGCGAGAGCTCCGGGCTGCCGGTTCTGGGGTTGGACTCGTCTCGTCGTCGCTGTTGTCGCCGCCCCCGTTGCTGCCGCCTTTGCCCGATCATTGCGCGGCCGGACAGTAGTTTGCTGTCCCGGTCGACGCCGTCGGTGTAACGCGGGCAGGGTCGTGTCTGGGACGTGTCGTGCGGCAGCGTGGTCGTGAGAGAGAGAGGGGGGGTCCGAGTAGTGGCGTGAACTCAACAACAATGAAAGGAGAGGACGGTGCCTCCTGCGACCACCTCGTCTCCGACTGAGTGTGTGTGCGACGCACGCCACCCGCACGCACACACAAGCCTCGAGCGTCGAGCAAGAGAACGAAGAAGAGACGCACCGACACTGCACATGTAGTCAAATGCAGAGGATAATGTGATTTTCATGGCAGGATAAAGTAAACAACCTGGAATCTGGGAATAGTATGCAGCAGGAAGAATTCTAGATGTAATCAGCAAGAGGAGGTTGCCATTGGTTAGGCACACGTGCAAAATTAAAGAGGGCAGGACATTGAGACAGGCATTGGAGTGGCACCCAGATGTCAGTGACCATTGGGTGGTCTGTGTGTGTCCACCACCAACGGGTGATCGGAATAGCATTGTAAAAGTGGTCCTTGAAGGATATGTCAGCTGTGCAACAAGGAGAAAACCTAGAGGCATATGGTGGCAGTGATGTTACAACTTTTAATATCAGGTGTTAACTGTGCAACAATTGTAATATTTGGCAGAAGGAAAGAAACAATGCCAACATACGTTGGTACCAATGGTATTGGCTGTGATAATCTCTTGACTCGACATTGATGCTGATTTCAGAGGCATAGCAATGATTTGAAGTTGGGGGTAAAGGCTTTTGAAGGGACTTGAACTCAGTGATCTGGCCTGTATAGGTGATGGTGCCAGTGATGGTGCTGATTTTGATTGTGATGGGTATCGTGGTGATGGTTGTGGTGATAGTAAACATGGTAATTGGTCGTAATGGTTTTGTTTGTTATAGTGTTATTGATGGTTGTGGTGGCGGTGGTCGTTAATATCTTGCAGTGGTGAGATATTAACTACCTTGCGTGGTATACAGGAGGTTGTGGGTTCAATCCCAACCCTAATGCCTGCATATTTGGAGTTTGCATGTTCTCCCCGTGGTCGCGTGGATTTTCCTCCGGGTCCTATGGTTTTTCCCTCCACTTCGTTGAGCCATCTTCGTTGAGCCATCATTTGTGGCCAGGTCGCTTCTTAAAAAAAGCTATATAGTTCAGTGGGCCTGACCTGCGAAAATAAAAAAATTTAGTTTAATAAAAAAAAGGTTGGTTGTGGTAAGGGTTTAATAACATGTCCACCAAGCCTCCATGTAGGCTATTGAATGGCTTAATAACCTTGATGTACACAAATAATGTTGCAAATTTCACCTTGCCATACAAAATAAGAATAATGCATAAATTAATTGATTAACATTGATTCCCAAGCTCATGTATGAATAAATGTTTTATTTATTTAAATGTATATATGTTATAATGGGTTCACATTGAACTCTGCAGTTACTCGGGGTTGCTACATTTATCATAGTTTCAAATAAATTATTGGTTCTTAAAGCAGCTCAGGACCCTGAATCGCGGCAGTTTGTCTAATCACAGAGGGAGGTTGGATCATTAAACCCCTGGTTGTGGAGGCGGTTGTGGATATAGTCGTGGTCACATGGAATTAGTTTTCAAGTTGGTAGGTAAGCAGCCACGAGTTGGTAGGTAAGCAGCCCATGAAGCCCATTTTTGGGATGGGGAGAGCAAAACGTATCTTGTCTCCTTTCAAAAATATGTGGTGAGAGGGCAAATCACTCCCATTGTATGTTCCCAAACTTCTGCCTGACTTGCCGCAGGCTCTGACCCCAGCCGATGAGATGCCTATCGGACTGAACATGCTGCAGCTCACGGACGTGAGGAGCAGCAACAACTACACGTGTGTGGCCATGTCCTCGCTGGGAGTCATCGAGGCTGTGGTGCAGGTAGCCGTGAAGGGTGAGGATACGCAGCAGCAGCAGCGCAATTCTGAAGCATACCCTATAGCGAACTGTAGTGAGGCATGCTGAACAATATTTAAGCATGAAGCGGCATAAAACATGTACACATTCAGAGACCTGTTTTCCTAAAAAGACAGCTCAATGCATTACATATTTATTACATGCACATACTATACACACTACATAACGCATAATACTCTAACATACACGAAGCAGGTGTATTGTGTCTCTTGGGGTGCCATGTGCCGAGATGTTATCTCCTTTTGATTGCTATGTAGGATGTGCTGGGTTTGATCCTGACGCTGACGATGCCTATTGTATATTTGGAGTTTGCATGGTGGTCCTTCGATTTTGCCTTCCACATTTAAAAACATGCATTTAGATTATTTGGCTGCTACTAAGAATTCCCACACATGATAATCCACTTCGATGAGTTATCATGTGAGGCCAGGTCACTTCTGAAGAAGAGCTAATAGCCCAGTGGGTTTTACTTGGTAAATAAAATATATTGTTAAGGATATCTTATAGGCTACTTATTGAATTCATATTGTATGCTTTGATTGGTGTAGACCTACTGCCGATGTCAGAGCCTTCCACATTAACATTGGCTGCCCCGCCCATCTCTAAACCTTTATAAACAGTCTTGATTTGAAGCTTTCGTGACTGCAGGAATCCATACTCTTTGTTTCTTTCGGTAAAGTCATGTAGGTATAAAATAAATCACGACGTTTCGGGCGCAACACAAGCGTCCGTCATCAGGTCTTATAAACAGCTCTTTGATTGGTGTAGACCTACTGCCGGTGTTGGAGCCCTCTCCTACATTAACATTAGCTGCCCCGCCCATCTCTAAACCTTTATAAACAGCTTGCCCTCAGAGGCTAACCTCCCTGTTCCTGATGACGACCGCTTGTGTTGCAATCGAAACGTCGTGATATTTGTATTATTTTTTTATTCACTTTCTTTTCATTTTTATTTGTATTATTTTATTGTTATTATTTTTTCTATCTACGTGACTTTACCGAAAGAACAATAGAATATGAATTCCTGCAGTCACGAAAGTTTTAAGTCAAATGACTTATTGAATTGGCTGGGAAATATTTGGTTGTCTAAGGACACTTCACCCGCATTCTTTAAAATGACAAAACCCCTGAACAAATTGTAACAAAATATACCACCTCGAATAAAATAACGTTATGCTGCGCTCCAGCCTCATTGGCGCACCCGTGTAGAATGTGTGCACGCATACACCTGACGTCTCTCCATTAGTATGTGCATTTGCCTGTTTCTTTGAGCACAGCTCTTGGTCGATTCGAATCCCTGAACAGATTGTTCGCTCCCTTAATTGACTGACTTGCTAACTTGTTCTATCACTTACAGACCCTCCTCGGAATAACACGAGCAGATATACCCTTCCCCGCATACACCGGATGTGTTTAGGTGTACCGCAGAATTTTTTTTACTAATAATTCATAATTGCAACCCCCGAAGCTTATAGTTACACAGCGTGCAAAGCAATGCGACTCTTTGATAGCTGCGTCTCCCCACCGCGTAATGTGACGTTCCAGGCAGTCCCAGTCCTGTATTGTTACCCTCACTGCACCGCTGCTCCACCGCCCGTTTAGACCAAAGCAATTTATTATATTGCTTGTAATTTTAAAGTTATGTATGCCTTTATCACACACTATTTGTGTTTTAATATAATATGAAATGTTGAATACTCGACAAAAATTGCAATCTGTAATTGGGTATCTTTGTCTTCATGGAATTAGCTTGGTATTTCAAAGACACACTTTGCAAATGATAATGATTTGCATTCATAGGTCTATATGCCTCAGCAACTCAAAGCACCTTGGATCACATATCCTCTCAATTATTCCAATGGCACGCTGTATTTTGTTTTTTAGCCTAGAGGACTCCCTAATGGCAGCTGTCCCTGTGCCGTTCAAGGTGAACGCAGCACCAGCCTGCGAGTGACCATGAGTTTCCAATGACACGGGGTGATGTTGCAATGTGGTTTTCATCAGCATCGTCATCATCACGATCCATGGGCAGATAGCCTGTGGGTGTGCACTGCACACTTCGTCATTTGTTTCCACTTTCCTCTGTCCTGTGCCAGTATGCTCAAGTAGTGCAACATCTTTCTGGCACCGATCTCTTATGTCATCAAGCCATTTTCTGTTAGGCTTTTCATCTGTTTCCTGGTCCTTACATTTTTCCGACCGTGACACCTGTATATTTGGAGTTTGCGTATCTCGCTCCCCATGGTTGCGTGGAGTTTTTCTCTGGTTCCTCTGCTTCTTCCCTCTCACATGTCGAAACATACGTTTAGACTACTTAGATGATTTTTTGCTGCTATAAATGTCCAAATGATAAGCCACTTGGTTGAGCGATCATTTGTGGCCAGGTTGCTTTTGAAAAATAAGGTAATACCTCAGTGAGCTTTGTCTGGTAGATGGGGATGGTTTAGTGTTGTATTTGTATGTACTTTGCACTCCGATCGTGTTTTTTTTTATTGGTTGTTATTGTAATGTTCTTACCCACCCTGACTGGACATCTCTGAAAAAGAGCTTTATAACTCATTGAATTTTTTCAATATAAATAAATATTTTGAAATATTGTGCTTTTAATTTTCCTGTTGTTCATCCTCCACATGTGTCCAAATAGTGCCAGTTTCCTTTTCATCACTGCCTATGGTTTTCACAATGCAGTAATTTGTCATTTGCTAATCTCGAACGTAATTCGTTAACTCTACAATGCACAGCCTTACCACGGCCTCCCGGGACTCCCCTCGTCACGGAGACCACGGCCACGAGTATCACCCTCACGTGGGACTCGGGCAATGTTGACCCTGTGCTGCACTACGTGCTGCTACTGAAGGCCCGGCCCGGCCACAGCAACAACAACAACAACAATGACAATGCCAACAACGACAGCAGCAATGAGGAGAAGGAGGATGAGGAGGAATTCAGCAACAGCAGCGGAGGAGGAGGTGGTGGCGGCGCTCCCTCCATGCAGGAGATTGGACCGGTGACCACGACGCGATACACGGTGAGGAGCCGCTTGATCCGGTGCCAGCATTCTCTGCCCCTTCCACCAGCTGCCCTCTGTTTGCATGCGCTCAGGCTGGGCAATTAAAGACAGAATCGTGTGTTTGGTGATTCCCAGCAGCTGTCTTCAAACTGTGTGGAATGTATTAATATATTGAGGATGCCAGAACAACTTCCATTTTGTGGTTCTCTGTTAAACGTATTTAATAAAAATGCGTATGACCTAGAGGAGGAAATTCTGTCGTAAACATGACACGTTGGAAGACAAGTATGGCAGCACACACGTGTAACTTTCTGTTTTAATAATTATTTTACGGAGGTTTTGAATTACTTCATGAAACATTTCACTTTGTACATTCATCTGTGGTTCGATTAGCTGGCACACATTATGTTACTTAATATATTTTTTACTCTTGCTTTTTTTGTATGGTTATAATGGTACACCAGTCCTGTGAAATATATTTTTTGCCACTCCTAAGACGTATAACAGTTTATTGGCACTTGATAAATAAAAACTGATGGTGATGATGCCGTCAAGGAAGGAGCAACCCATAAAACGAACAGCCTTTTTTCTTGTAGCAATAAAGCACAGTGTAATACAGTGCATTATTTCTTAATGCTACAATTCAGCAGGATGTAGTTTGAGGCAATGCAATGTAAACGAAGCTGCAACCCAAAAAGCAAACAGCTCTTGTAGCTACACACTCGGGATGTGTGTCCTAGACTGTCCAAATGTCAAGCATTGTTAATAATATATGCATTACAGTCACTTTCTTGCCGCTCTATTGACATCGCTGAAGCGTGAAATCTTCTTCGAGCTCTTTGCCTAAGGTACAACTTCTTAGCTCAGGTTTTCTCCATCCTCTCTGATCTTGCACTTTCCTCCTCATTTCTTCACATAGCCTTTCAGCCTTCAATTTGTCGAGCAGCGCCTTCCTTGTTTACCTCTAGGGATTTTTCCTAACATCCTTAAGCAAGCTTTCCTCCAAAAATATCCCCGGTCCAGACATATTACCTTTGTTTGAATCGTCCTAGTGAATCAAAATCTTTATTCAGACTGGAGGAATCCGATAAACTATGATGCTCTTTTTCGCAGATGTCCAATCTGTTCTAGCACCTCATTACTCTTTCATTCCTGTCCAGCTGATTTTCTCCATGTGGCGCCACACCCACACCTCAAAAGTTTCTCGCTATCTGATGTCTTTCTCTCTCAATTCCAAAGTCTTCGCTGCACACAACACACCGCACTGCATGCTAGGGAATTCTACGAATCTCTTTGTTTAATTCTCCACCCATCCATTTTAATGGCACTTTGTTCTTATCAGCAGCACACTCTTCCGTCTGTCCGTGTTGCCACTGGTGGCCCTTTAGGTGGGGGGGCTGAGCCCTTACTCGGACTACGAGGTGCGCGTGGTGGCCGTGAATGGCGTGGGGCGCAGCGCACTGAGTGGGGCGGCCCGCGCCCGCACAGGCGAGCGGGCGCCGTCCACGGCGCCGTGGGGCCTGCACGGGCGCATGGTGTCGCCGTCCAACGCGCTGCTCCAGTGGCAGGAGCCGGCCGAGCCCAACGGGCAGATCCGGGGATACCGTGTCTACTCCGCCAAGCTCACGGCGGCAGGCACACGGGGCCCCGGTGAGCAGGAGGTGGAGCAGGATGTGGTGGTGGTGGTGGTGGTGGTCGCGGTGGTGATGATGTTGGTGGTGAGGGTGGTTGTTGTGATGCTGTGGTATAAAGACAGTCGTGCTGCTGCTGCTATTCATGACGATGATACCGACGATAGTGATGTTGCTGTCATTCATGCTGATGATGGTGATGACAGTGATACTTTTGATCATTACGATGGTGGTGATAATAATGAAGATAATGGTGATGACAAAGATTAAAATGGTGGTAATGATCTTACTATTTTTATAGCCACTGATGATAAGGTTGTTAACTTGGACAGTTTTAGTGTTGATGCCACTGCTGCTGCTAAAGATGATGGTATTATTGTCGATGATGGAGGAGGAGGCTCGTGAATAACGCTACTGGTCAGTTGCAGGCAGTCACCCTCTATCAACAACGGAGGGCAGAGGAGCGACACTCACAACAACAAGCGGAGTGCCGGGTGGCTAAAACATAGCAAGTTAACACAGGGGGTACAGCTGGTGCATCTGCCAGTCGTCTCAGTCAGTCAACCCATGGCACCTGGGTCTGTCCCGTGACCTGTAAGCGAGCCTTCGACACTTCACGTAGCCTCAAAGTGCACCTGGCCTGGCACAGGTGCCGTGGTGACGTCACCATCACTTAGTAGCGAATGGCAGGTATTGTTATTGTCGATGATACGGTTGCTGCCAATGATCCTACCAACTTTCCCCCTCTCTCCGTCTCTGCTGCCTGGCTCGACACATGCCAGTGGTGACACCACCGCTGTCGTCGTGGATGAAGCGGAGTGTGGAGAACGTGCCGCTGGCCACGTTGTCGGGGCTGGAGGAGGGGGCTCTGTACGCCGTGCGGGTCCTCGCTTTCACCAACGTTGGGGACGGGCCCCTCTCCCCAGAGATACACATCATCGCACAGTTCGGAGGCAAGCACGCACGCCCACATGCATGCATGTGTTGCGTTTGTGTGGGGAGCAGTAGTGTCGCGGTTAGCACACTGCACTCAAACTCGGCGACCCGAGTTTGGTCTTGGGCCTCCCGTAAGTCAACTCAACCTTAAATGACTACCTGGTGCTGTGTTTAAATATCATCACTGGGGAGACAAAGGTGGCCAGGCATGGTGCTGCCCACCCTCTCGTGTGCATTGCTAGCCCCAACACTTGCAGGGTACAAATATATGTCCATTAATAGGTGATCTATAACGGCACTTAATAAAGATATATTGTGCAACTTTAATGCACGTAATTTGTTGCATTCAAAATGTTGTATCCCATTTTTAAATCTGACACTTTGCAACTCTTATTTTGCAGCCCAGTTACACACTTCCACTCGTGGGCCATGTGTTCATTCATCAATTGAGTAGAAGCTGGGAGATTCGAGGTCTGTCCTCCCTCCCCTGTTTTCCTGGATCACTTGACCAAAAGGAGATCACCAAACCTCAACAGGGATCTACGCAAGGCAATTAAAGTAATTTTTTAAAAACTGAATTATTGACAAATAAATAAGGTAAATAGCTAAGATTGGTATTAATTTCCTTTATGAAAACAGTTTTTAAAGTGAAACATCTCCATACTGTCACACATTAAAAAAAATCTAGGAATGTTTTTGCTTCTCACATTGCCCTGGTGACTAAACTCATTTAACCCAGCCAATCACACACACCACTGTGGCATGGAGAACAATTAACATTTCTAACAGATTTTCAGCAACAAAGTTGCTCTCAGTTTAGAGCCGAATGCAACTGTCTTCTCCTAGTATTGCAGCCCAATATAAATGGAGAAATAAAAGCAACAACGATGTTAGCAACATCATGAGAACGTTCCCCAATTAAACTGAAACTTTCAATTTAAATGGCATGTGTCGTATGGTGTGTCCGGAAAAAAACAACCCTCTACCTCCTCGTGGTGACAGACAGCAACACTGTGGTGGGCAGTGCCATGGGCGGAGGGCCAATTTAGATTGGCCATTCCCCTCATGGCGTTTGTAACCACCACAGCAGCCAAATGGGGTCTCTGGATCGGTGCGAGGGGCTGGTAACCCCTCCACCTTTAATTAACTACCACTAAACTACGAGTTAAAAATGTATTAAGCTTTTTCCAGAGGCCCCGGGGGGACAAGCATCTATGACGTCTCCTGGCCAAACCCCATTTGGCGGAGCCAGGAGACTGAATCCTTACCCTCGGGGCTCCTCCAGAAACAACAAAAAACAACTGCTGTAAGCCCCAGGCTACTTTGGGCTCGCCTTCCCATCAACCAGAGGTGAGGAGTGGTGGTCGTGGTTACTTATGCCCCCACCGAAGACGAACATCCATGGAGGGATGCAGAAAAAGCCGATGAGTCAGATGCCTTCTATGACCTGTCACAGGCCCCTTGGGATAGAGTCATCCTGTTGGGTGACTTCAATGCACCGAGTTGGTCATGATGCTGGCACCTGGTCTGGAGTGATTGGAAGGCATGGACCAGATCAGCTCAATAACAACGGCAGGAAGCTGATACATTTTTGTGCAGCCCATGGGCATGTAATTGCCAACACGCTGTTCCGGCATCGGCGCATCCACACAACATCATGGATGCCTGCCGGGTCCAAGCAAGAACATCTGCTGGACCACATAGTGACGGAACAGCGGATGCGGACCTATGTCCTTGACACCTGGACCTACCATGGAGCTGATCTGCCCACTGACCATCGACTTGTCATCTGTAAGATGCGCCTGCCATTCTTCCACTCCGGTGGTGGGTGTACACCCAGGACCCCATTAAAACCCATAGTGGCATGGTCTCATCTAGCTGATGAAAGTTGCAAGCGAGAATTTCATCATCGCTTGCGGCTGGGGTTGGCATCGTCCCTGACTCCTCCTGATGTCGAGGGGAAATTGGCGAGGTTTAGGACTGTGGCTCATGCAGCTGCAATGGCTGTTTTTGGGTACACGGTTCAGACCTCCCCAGAGACCCTGGCTGACAGAGGAGGTGTTCAGGCTGGCTCAGAAAAAGCGACAGGCCCACTCTCATCGGCTACAGCATCCCACATCGAAGAATGAGGAGGCTTACCGCAGCCTTCGCTCGGAGGTTCGGAAAGCCGTGAGGCGCTGCAAGGATGGGTGGTGGTCGCGGGTTGCTGAGAAGATGGAGTCTTCCTCAAAGGCCCACGATCACAAATCGCTCTTTAATTCCATAAAAAAGTAACCTGCAGTGCCACACCTATTACCATCATTAGGGGAAAGAATGGTGATCCAATCTCCGACCCCCACGAACAGGTTCACAGATTTGCTGAGCATTTATGTGAGGTCCTGGGGGAGGGGAAATCCCTCCGCCTGGAAAACATCGTGGCACAAAGTGAGGATGACCCTGTCAAGGCTGCAGTGCCTCAAATATTGGAAAAATAAGTCACCCCCTGTGAGTGGCTGGCTGAGCTGCCATCTGTTGAGGAAGCACTGAATGCGATCTGGAGTCTGAGACCAGGAAAGGCACCGGGCAGAGATGAAATGCTGTGGGAGGGTGTCGTTCGTGCACAGACTGCCCTACATGACATCATAACAACAGTCTGGACCACTGGATGGGTTCCGCAAGATTGGAAGGATGCACTGGTGGTCCCCCCTCTTTAAGAAGGGGGACCACTCTTTAAGAAGGGGGACCGCACAGACTGTAACAACTGCAGGGGCATCTCACTCCTCAGTGTGCCAGGAAAGGTCCTGGCAAGGATTATTCAACATCGCCTTGCTAGGCGCGCTGAGGAGAGGCTTGCGGAGCCCCAATGCGGTTTCAGGAAAGGGCGGTCCTGCACAGATGCCATATTTTCTGTCCGTTTGCTACAGCAGAGGTGTAGGGAATTCCAAGAAGACCTACATCTCTGCTTAATTGACCTTGTCAAGGCCTATGATACCATTAGTAGGCCTGGGCTCTGGGTTCTTCGTGCTTTTGGAGTACCTGACCCTCTGCTCACGATCATTAAGGACCTTCATGATGGTGAGCGGGCCCAGGTAAAACTCCGTGGCCAGGAGTTGGAGCCATTCCCGGTACACCTTGGGGTGCGACAGGGATGCCCTCTGGCTCCCACATTATTTAACATCTATTTCGACCACGTAGTTAGTGAAGCCTTCAATAGCTGTACTGGAGGAATTTCCATCTGGTACAGATACAATGGGAGGCTGATCGATGCTCAACCATGTTATGTATGCTGATGATCTGGTACTTGCTGCTCACTCAGAGGAGGAGTTGCAGGTGCTGCTGCTGAACCTGGAGCTTGCCACTAAGAGGTGGGGCCTTACCATCAGCCCCACCAAAACTAAGCACCTGCCTGGGTATTTTGTACCATCGGACAATCCACCCCCACAACTCCCAATTGGTGATAGGGCAGTTGTGGAGAGAGTGGAGAGTTTCCCATACCTGGGCAGTGTGCTCATGACCGGCTCCGGTTTAACAGCAGAGGTCTCACTCCGAATCAGTCGAGCAGCATTATCTTTTCATCGGTTGCGTAACACTGTGTGGAAGCTACCTGGTCTGTCGCTCCGCACGAAGCTTCAGGTCTTCTCGGCCACAGTCATTCCCTTCCTTCTCTATGCTTGCGAAACGTGGAACCCCCCCAAATGGAACATCTTCGCCGGTTAGAAACATTGAGATTTGCCTGCCTACGATCCATCCTGGGTTTAACCAGGCTGGATTGTGTGAGGAGCTCACAAATCCTTGAAAGATCTGAGCAAAGTCCTATCAGTGAAATCCTCCGGCAGGCAAGGCTGCGTTGGCTGGGTCATGTCGCCCGCATGCCCAGTCACCGCATGCCTAAACATATTTTGTTCTGCCGGATCGAGGGGGCTAAACGGGCGCGGCACGGGCTAGAGAAGAGATGGAGTCACATGGTACAGGAGAATGTGGAGCTGAGTGGACTTGCCGATGACTGGTACCAGCGGTGTCAAGATCGACCTCTGTGGAGGAGGCTCGTGAAGGACGCTACTGGGCAATTGGAGGCATTCGCCCTCCAACAACAACAGAGGGGAGAGGAGCGACACTCACAACAACGAGCAGAGCGCTGAGTGGCTAAAGCACAGCAAGTTGGCACAGTAGGGGGCACAAGTGGTGCATCAGCCAGTTGTCTCAGTCAGTCGACCCGTGGCACCTGGGTCTGCCCCGTGGCCTCCTGCCAGCGGGCGTTCGACACTTCACGTGGCCTCAACCTGTGCATTGCCTGGCACAAGCGTCGTGGTGACGTCACAGCCACTTTGTTGCGAATGGCGGTGGTTGTTGTTGTTGTGTGTCTAAATGTGTCCCCTGACAGTGCCGAGTCAACCAATCAGCTTCAAAGCAGAGGCCGAGTCGGACACAAGCATGTTACTCTCATGGCTGCCACCGCGTCAGGAGAATATCCTGAAGTATGAGCTTCTGTACAGAGAGGGAGACACAGGGCCTGAGGTGAGAGACACTGCATATTCACTAACACCCAAACTCGAACACATTATCACATAGCCTTAATAGACTGTTGGGGCAAGTGCTGTTCGCAAGCACCTATTTAAGGCCAACACGTTACAGAAGGGCGTGGGTGGCCAGTACCACCCGAGTGGCGATGTTTACACACCGCACCGGGTACTTATTTGAGGCTCAGCCGACCTAGGGGAGGCCCAGGACCAGTCCAGATAATCGTCACTAATGTTGGCCATGAGCATGAATCAAACTCAGGTCGCCGGGTTCGTAGTGCAGTATGCTAATCACTAAACTCCCGCTCTCACATAGACACCCGGTCATAAACACATGCTAACAAACCTCAAGCTGAAACTTGGTTACACATTTACTGGTGCTCAAGCTCACAACCTAATGTTAAAGCATGCTTTTATTCGTTCCAAACCACATGCACAAGGTGCTCACACTAACAAACACACATACTGGCACATTCATACACAATACTTAATTTCATTATATGATGCAGATAGCACCTTTGAAGTTGAATTATGAAATATACTCCAAATAAAAAACATGTAAACATACTCAATGCAGGCTTGAGTTAGGGGAGGCAATCCCAAGTAAAAGTCCATCAATTTTAAACAATTGAATAAATCTTCAACGTCCTGTTTCCACGTTGAACCTTCAATGTCATGACTGAATCCGAAGGTGACCCAAGTAAGAGCATGCTGCTGTCTTAGGAAAGTGTACCAAATAACCTTCATGCTAAGCCCACCTGTACTGTATTTCTCTAATCGATAGAACGTGAGTATATAATAAAGTTGTCTCCCCCCCCACCCCCCCACGTTACGCCATTTGCATGTTTCTTCCATTTCGGGCTGGATTCCAAATCCCCCAGGCTGATTCCACTTCCGCTTCACAGGCTGACCTGAATTCCAAACACCTGAATACTGGCTCAATGGAAAAACATTCTCAAACGTGTCAATCACAAACGTTGTAGGTTACAGGAAACATTTAATTTCACATGTAATGTAAGTAATGTGGTTTTGACCTTTGAATCCCAAGTATTTCTGGGAATGTTTGACTGGGAAGTATTTCTGGGAAGGACCTGGGGTGCAACTCCTCTGTTTTTTCCCTCATTTAGAAACATTATTTTAGGTAATTTAAATTATTTTGCTAATATCAATTTCTAAATGATAAGCCGCTTCGTTGAGCTATCATTTGTGGCCAGGTCACGTCTGAAAAAGAAGCTAATAGCTCAGAGAACCTTAACTGGTAAGAAAAATTGTTTAGTTTTATTTGTGTATATTTATTAAGTAATTTCGTTACCTTTCCTATACTTTGTTCTCCTGTTGTGTTTTTGTTATTGTTGTAATATTCTGACCTGCTCCTATTGGATGTCTGTGAAAAAAGAGCTTTATAGCTCATTGGATTCCTCCAGTATAAATAAATACTCTGACATCTTGAATCATCAATTGAAACACGTGTTGAACCGACTTAAGATGTTAAAAGACGTTTTTAACCAACTCGAGTTAGCGGTCTATGGAAACTATAATATTTAAACTAGGTGTTGGTATTGGGCCAACTTGGTATCGAAACAAGCCCCAGTGGTCATGGAAACACACATTTGCTCACAATATAAAAAATGCTGATATTGGTGACGTTAAATGACTGTGCTCTTGGTGATATTGATGATCGTGTTTATGGTGATATTAATGTTTATGCTGTTATAATTGTGGTGATGTTAATGCTAATGACGTTGATGCTTATGATGATGTTCTCAACGACGATATCAAAGATGATAACGTTGATGTTGTTTTGTTGGTGTTGCTCTGTTATTTATGATGTTGTCTCAGCGCCGGCTCTCCCTTGACCCTACCGTGAACCATGTCCTGGAGGGCCTGAGGGAGAACTCCCTCTACTCATTCCGTCTCGCTGGACGCTCCTTGCACGGCCTGGGCCCCTACAGCCCCACTGTTACTGCACGCACACTTCCCACACGTATGCATACACGTGTACTATCACTCTCATGTAATCACACACGTATATGCACGCGTACACACACTCATACACATACAAAGATCACCCGTTTAACACTGTAGAGTTGTTGGAGAAAGTGTGGTTAAAGATCATTATTCCCAGCTCCTGAATGTCTATGCTTACAAACCTCATCAGATGCTCATTTAAGGCTGAGTCAATCTAGGGAAGGCCCAGCACTGGTTCACATACCAGGTTCCCTGATGTTATTCATATCTGGGAAAGGCATCATAGGAGGCTGGGATCATACCACGGTATGCAAACCACTACACCACTGTACACAAATACACACGTGGATACTGTATATAAATACACATGTGTATACTGTATATAAATCGAATCAGGCCGGGTAGCTCTATTATCAGAGTTCTAGGCTTAAAGTGAGAAGGTTGTGAGGTTTAATTGGAGGGTTGACTCAGCCCTTTATTCCTGCGTTAATAAAATAATCAGTACTCCATGGGAATTTAACAGTAGTCGTCCTGTGGAAAGACGAGACACTGCCATGGGAATGCGGAATTTACACATTGCTCAGGGCCATTCACGGAGATGAATATCACCACATGATTGGGATACTTTAAATATACAGTGAGGGAAAAAAGTATTTGATCCCCTGCTGATTTTGTACATTTGCCCACTGACAAAGAAATGATCAGTCTATAATTTTAATGGTAGGTTTATTTGAACAGTGAGAGACAGAATAACAACAAAAAAATCCAGAAACGCATGTCAAAAATTTTATAAATTGATTTGCATTTTAATGAGGGAAATAAGTATTTGACCCCTCTGCAAAACATGACTTAGTACTTGGTGGCAAAACCCTTGTTTGCAACCACAGAGGTCAGATGTTTCTTGTAATTGGCCACCAGGTTTGCACATATCTCAGGAGGGATTTTGTCCCACTCCTCTTTGCATATCTTCTCCAAGTCATTAAGGTTTCGAGGCTCACGTTTGGCAACTCGAACCTTCAGCTCCCTCCACAGATTTTCTATGGGATTAAGGTCTGGAGACTGGCTAGGCCACTCCAGGACCTTAATGTGCTTCTACTTGAGCCACTCCTTGGTTGCCTTGGCCGTGTGTTTTGGGTCATTGTCATGCTGGAATACCCATCCACGACCCATTTTCAATGCCCTGGCTGAGGGAAGGAGGTTTTCACCCAAGATTTGACGGTACATGGCCCCGTCCATCGTCCCTTTGATACGGTGAAGTTGTCCTGTCCCCTTAGCAGAAAAACACCCCCCAAGCATAATGTTTCCACCTCCATGTTTGACGGTGGGGATGGTGTTCTTGGGGTCATAGGCAGCATTCCTCCTCCTCCAAACACGGCGAGTTGAGTTGATGCCAAAGAGCTCCATTTTGGTCTCATCTGACCACAACACTTTCACCCAGTTGTCCTCTGAATCATTCAGATGTTCATTGGCAAACTTCAGATGGGCATGTATATGTGCTTTCTTGAGCAGGGGGACCTTGCGGGCGCTGCAGGATTTCAGTCCTTCACGGCGTAGTGTGTTACCAATTGTTTTCTTGGTGACTATGGTCCGAGCTGCCTTGAGATCATTGACAAGATCTTCCCGTGTAGTTCTGGGCTGATTCCTCACCGTTCTCATGATCATTGCAACTCCACGAGGTGAGATCTTGCATGGAGCCCCAGGGCGAGGGAGACTGACAGTTCTTTTGTGTTTCTTCCATTTGCGAATAATCGCACTAACTATTGTCACCTTCTCACCAAGCTGCTTGGCAATGGTCTTGTAGCCCATTCCAGCCTTGTGTAGGTCTACAATCTTGTCCCTGACATCCTTGGAGAGCTCTTTGGTCTTGGCTATGGTGGAGAGTTTGGAATCTGATTGATTGCTTTTGTGGACAGGTGTCTTTTATACAGGTAACAAGCTGAGATTAGGAGCACTCCCTTTAAGAGTGTGCTCCTCATCTCAGCTCGTTACCTGTGTGGTGGTCACTCTGTAAACACACACACGCTACACAGTACCTACCAGAGCGGGGTCATTGATAACCCTGACCAAGACTCCGCCTAAGGGGTGGAGGCTGTGGAGTGTGTGTGTGTGAGATCCCCCCGAACCCTGCCCCTAGCAGAAAGCGGGATAACAAACACAGATCGGTTGGACTACCTGTGGCCAGAACCCCTCCTGAGGGGAGGGGGCTGTGGGCGATCTGTGATTCCTCAGAACCCCGCCCCTCGGTGGGGAATCGTATAAAAGGCGGGCTCCTGAGAGCAGAGCTCAGTTCGCCTCCAGCCGAAGTCGAGGAGCCACCTGGAGACGAGATCCTGGACCCCAAGCCCCGACGTCCTTCTGAGGGCCGGGGCTCAGTGCGGTGCCAGAGGTCGAGAGGCTAGAACGCTGAGGTTCCCTCAGCCCGACGTCCTTCTGAGGATCGGGTCTGGACGGGCCAGTGGTCAGAGACCCACCGGTGCCAGCGGTGGGTCAGCCTCTTAAGCTCCAGCCAGCCGGAGGGCTATAGGAGTAGGTCAGTGGCTAGGATAGATAGCCCGGAGGCTGTACTTCCACAGGTTGTGGGTGGAAGGGGCCATTACCCCTTCATGTTAAGTCCTAGTGAGTGTTGTTACAGATATAAATAAAACGTGTTGCTTCCTACTATGACTCCGTCTCCATACACGACTATTACACCTGTATAAAAGACACCTGGGAGCCAGAAATCTTTTTGATTGAGAGGGGGTCAAATACTTATTTTCCTCATTAAAATGCAAATCAATTTATAACATTTTTGACATGCGTTTTTCTGGATTTTGTTGTTATTCTGTCTCTCATTGTTCAAATAAACCTACCATTAAAATTATAGACTGATCATTTCTTTGTCAGTGGGCAAACGTACAAAATCAGCAGGGGATCAAATACTTTTTTCCCTCACTGTATTGTTGTGATTGTTTGGTTGTGGTTTCTATTGTGTTGGCATTGTTGTTTTGATTGTGGTATATCATTGTGATTGTTGTGGTTATGATTATGGTTGTGTATTTGGATGTTATTTGGTTGTGAGTTTGGATGTTGCTGGAGTTGAGGTTTTGGCTGTTATTAGGGTTGTAGTTGTATGTGTGGTTATCTGTTTGTTATTGTAATGGAATTATTTGGTTGTGGCTGTTTGTGATTGAGGTTGTGGTTGTGGCTAGAGTTGTGGTTGTGGTTGTTTCTGTAGTTGCGAGCGGAACTCCTCGGCGGGTGGAAGCCGAGGCTGTGAACGCGTCGGCTGTAATGGTGCGGTGGAGATTGCCACCATCAACATCATTATCAACATCGTCATCGTCGTCGTCATCCCCTCCTCCACTTCCACACCCCTTGTTCCGCGTGCGATGGTGGCGGTCGGATTCGGCACAAGGAAGACAGGAGACCCAGTCACCGGACATCATAGGGCAGGTACACTCGCCAATACACTCACCAGTGCACTGACTGGGACACTCACCGTTGCACTCACAAATACACTTATCAATACATTCGCCAATATACGTACTTGACATGTATACTTACCATTACTCACCACTACACTCAACATTACTCACCAGTACTTCTGCTCACAGGTACACTTACCAGAATGCATCACTGCACTGACTACACAGCACACTCACTAATACATTCACTAGTACTCGCCAGTAGATTCCCCAGTACTTAACAGTACACCTACCCATATTCAACACTACACTCGCCTGTATCATCACAACACTCACCAGTACACACATCGATATGCTCATCGGCAAACTTAACAATACCCTCACCCATGCTCACAGGCATTAGCACCAACATTAAATGATTAGTAGGGATGAGTGTACCTGTACTCTCAGGTACACTCATCCCTACTAATCCATATATATTCACCACTCACCAGTACACTAATCAGTGCACTCACAAGTACACCAGGACCTTCAAGACTATGCTGCTGCACTGACTGTACACTCAACAATACTCCTGACTCAATATGATACTCCACTAACTCGTCATTACACTCACTACTCTCATAAACATGCAACAGTACTCCATGACACTATGAAACTCAACAATACACCTTTACTCTCTCACAGAGCATTGGGTAAAATCGGATATTTAAAGTTTTGACATTTCTGTAGGTCAGCATAGAACACAAGTCACTTTTAAATTCCTCATTAAACTGAAGAGGGTTTTGTATTACAATAAGAAAATTGCTCAATAAAAGAAAGGATAAAGTGTGCAATGTATTATTCAAACCCTTACAATTTCCCATTTTACCCACACTTGGTAAAATGCTATCTACCATTGAGGTCAAATGAGATACACACTCGTGTTTGCAAATTACGAGCAGAAATGTATAACCTTTATTCGTAGTTATAGCTACAGGAAAAAAGTGACGCAATGAAAACAAAGTATGCCGAATACTTAAAGCCTTTCTAGACTTAGTCTACGAGCACAGCTCACAAGTGAATTGGTCGTCATTGTCCACATCATTGTCCACGTCATTGTCCACGTCATTGCTACGTCATTGTCCACGTCATTGTCCACGTCATTGTCCACGCCGGCACATGCACCGTGGGCCCACTTGTGACATCACAAACACCGAACCCGCCCTTCGCCGCTTCAGTTCTTCCAAAAACCGATCGTTGCAGTCGACGCGCATACAATCGATTCTTCATCTGATTGGCTGTTGCCATTCACGTCCAGCGCAAGTAAACGAGGAGCAGCCTTCGGTTTCTGCGACATGTTTTTCTTTGCACCGCTTGCTTTTTTTTCCGCTTTTCAATCCATTCTATAATTCAGAGTGAGATGCCTACAGTGAGGGAAAAAAGTATTTGATCCCCTGCTGATTTTGTACGTTTGCCCACTGATAAAGAAATGATCAGTCTATAACTTTAATGGTAGGTTTATTTGAACAGTGAGAGACAGAATAACAACAAAAAAATCCAGAAACGCATGTCAAAAATTTTATAAATTGATTTGCATTTTAATGAGGGAAATAAGTATTTGACCCCTCTGCAAAACATGACTTAGTACTTGGTGGCAAATCCCTTGTTGGCAATCACAGAGGTCAGACGTTTCTTGTAGTTGGCCACCAGGTTTACACACATCTCAGGAGGGATTTTGTCCCACTCCTCTTTGCAGATCTTCTCCAAGTCATTAAGGTTTCGAGGCTGACGTTTGGCAACTCGAACCTTCAGCTCCCTCCACAGATTTTCTAAGGGATTAAGGTCTGGAGACTGGCTAGGCAACTCCAGGACCTTAATGTGCTTCTTCTTGAGCCACTCCTTTGTTGCCTTGGCCGAGGGTTTTGGGTCATTGTCATGCTGGAATACCCATCCACGACCCATTTTAAATGCCCTGGCTGAGGGAAGGAGGTTCTCACCCAAGATTTGATGGTACATGGCCCCGTCCATCGTCCCTTTGATGCGGTGAAGTTGTCCTGTCCCCTTAGCAGAAAAAACACCCCCAAAGCATAATGTTTCCACCTCCATGTTTGACGGTGGGGATGGTGTTCTTGGGGTCATAGGCAGCATTCCTCCTCCTCCAAACACGGCGAGTTGAGTTGATGCCAAAGAGCTCCATTTTGGTCTCATCTGACCACAACACTTTCACCCAGTTGTCCTCTGAATCATTCAGATGTTCATTGGCAAACTTCAGACGGGCATGTATATGTGCTTTCTTGAGCAGGGGGACCTTGCGGGCGCTGCAGGATTTCAGTCCTTCACGGCGTAGTATGTGTTACCAATTGTTTTCTTGGTGACTATGATCCCAGCTGCCTTGAGATCATTGACAAGATCCTCCCGTGTAGTTCTGGGCTGATTCCTCACCGTTCTCATGATCATTGCAACTCCACGAGGTGAGATCTTGCATGGAGCCCCAGGCCGAGTGAGATTGACAGTTCTTTTGTGTTTCTTCCATTTGCGAATAATCGCACCAACTGTTGTCACCTTTTGGCAATGGTCTTGTAGCCAATTCCAGCCTTGTGTAGGTCTACAATATTGTCCCTGACATCCTTGGAGAGCTCTTTGGTCTTGGCCATGGTGGAGAGTTTGGAATCTGATTGATTGATTGCTTCTGTAGACAGGTGTCTTTTATACAGGTAACAAGCTGAGATTAGGAGCACTCCCTTTAAGAGTCTGCTCCTAATCTCAACTCATTACCTATATAAAAGACACCTGGGAGCCAGAAATCTTTATGATTGAGAGGGTGTCAAATACTTATTTCCCTCATTAAAATGCAAATCAATTTATAACATTTTTGAAATGCGTTTTTCTGGATTTTTTTGTTGTTATTCTGTTTCTCACTGTTCAAATAAACCTACCATTAAAAATATAGACTGATCATTTCTTTGTCAGTGGGCAAACGTACAAAATCAGCAGGGGATCAAATACTTTTTTTCCTCACTGTATGCTCTCTAGTGTTCTCGCCCATACAGCATGCACCTACTCACCCAATAAATGATAAAGTTACTAACTCACTTATCCACTCACCCATGCATTCACCCACTCCCTGACCCACTTATCCACTCGCCTGTTCATTCAACCACTCACTAACTCACTTACCCACTCACTCAATAACCTATTCATCAAGTTACTTACTAACTCACTTGCCCACTCACTCATTATTCACCCCCTCACTAACTCACTCGTCCCATAACGTATTCACCAAGTTACTAGCTCACTTGCCCATTCACCCTCTTACCCACGCATTCACCCACTCACAAACTCACTTAACCAATAACTCACTCACTTGGTCTTACACTCACCCGCTCACTGACTCACCCACCAACTCACTCATTAATTCCCCCAGTTCCTCACTGACTCACTCATGGTGTAATAGTGAGTGTATTGGTATAGTAGTGAAAGAAAGGTTTGGAAGCAATGGTACATTGTGAAAGTGGTGCAAATTGTGAAATATACTGATTGTATTATAAAGAGGTTTTTTTTAATATATCGTATATTCATTATGTATTTATGTGAGTATATTTACTTTGTGCACCCCTCACCGTGTAGCTGTGCAGTGCAGTAATAGTGCGTAAATTAGTCTAGGTGGAGCGTGGTGTCTAGACGATAGCATCGATACCGTTAATTTAGGCGGCACTCCAAAAAGTCACGTTTCCACAGTTAAAACACTTTTTTCTTATTAACGAATCTTTAAACTTGTGTCAGACCATCTGAAACACACAGTCTCGGTGTGTGTCTACAAGAACAGTTTTTTTTAATGTAGTATCTACCTTGAAACATGTATGTCTATGATGCATGCAGTACTCGTGATTCTTGTATGGGCAATTCACATATTAAACTATACATACATGTGATCATCTGTGCATCCATGCATACCTGAGTGAGCATTTATTTGTGAATGAATAGATTCTGAAGATGTGGTTGTCCCAGTAGTCTTGAGTGGTAGTTGTGGTGGTCCTCTTGGTAGTTCTAGTAATCCAAGTGGTCCTAATATTCTGAGTGGCAGTTCTGTTGGTCGCAGTGGTCGTGCTCATAGTCCCATTGGTAGTCCTAGTGGTCCAATTTGTTATGGTGGTGCTAGTGTTAGTCCAGGAGGTCCCAATAATAGTCCTGGTAGTCCAGGTATTGGTCTGATAGTTGTGTGAATGTATTTCACATTTTATTTGCACTTTCAGATGTATTACCATGGTAAACTGTGAAGATGTTATCATGGTTATCATGGTGTAAATACTTTCAAACTTTCAGTATTCTTATTTAATAAGATTCAGATCTGGCCATATACAGATTTGAATCCTATTTTATTCAGATATTATTTTGATAGATCCATCCCATTGGTAGCGTTGATTGTCTTGTAATGATTCAGCACCATCTTTGCAATTTGATGAATTATCACAATTTGACTTCAGGATTTTATTCAACAGTTATTGTCTTGTTTATACACTGATTTATTGTCTCATGTGATATATCTTATTTTGTATTACGTATTCCATGAGCGTTAAGGTATACGTGAGCTTGTAATTTGCATATACCATGAATTATTTATTTCTACATACACCATTTGACACATGTATCTTAAGTGTAAGAATGTTTTTTAATCAATAAATTGATTAGTTGTTACATGCCGAGTGTGCACCATACTTAACATGCATTTCTTTCTTTCCTTGCAGTGGGAGAGTGATGACACATCAGAATACGTAAGCTTCTCTTGAGAGATCAACACTTTTGGTATATAAGTGTGGATGCTTACTGTATACAAACCCGGGTGACCCGATTTCGATTCCCTCTCAAGGCAAACACCAGTACCGATTATCTGAACAGGTCCTGGGCCTCCTCTAGGTCAGCTCAGCCTCAAATGAGTAACTGGTGTTGTGTGTAAACGTCACCACTGAGGAGACAAATGCGGTTGGACATTGCGCTTGCCACTCACCCCCTCTTGTGCTCTGCCGGCCTTCATAGGTAACCACTAACAGCACTTGCCCCAACAGTTTGTTGAGGTTATACAGGGAATGATTGTCTTTGTCATTTGTATAGACTTAGGTGAGGAGTGGTAGTGTAGTGGTTAGCGCACTGTGCTGTGAACCCGGCGATCCGAGTTCAATTGCCGCTCGCAGCCAATATCGGTGACAAATATATGAACTAGTCTTGGGCCTTTCCCAGCTCGACTCAGGTTTAAATGAGCACCTCGTGCAGAATGTAAACACCACCGATGAGGAGACAAAGGTGGCCATTTGCAGTGTTATCCATACCTGGCGGTGTCATGTTGGCTTTCATAGGTGCTCACTAACAATGCTCGCCCCAACAATATCTTATGTCTATAGGGGAGGATCTTTGTCTTTATGTTTAGGAGTTTCTCATTGGGGGCTTGCAGCCCGAGACCTCCTACTCCTTGACTGTGAGGTCCCTACTTCCGCGAGGGGAGATTGCTGAGAGCCTGCCGAAGACGGTCAAGACAAAGGCTGCAGGTGAACACATGCCACATCTCCGAATTAGAGGTGGTTACAGTCCTTCATGATTCTTCTTCCCCCTCCCCTCTCCGCTTATTTTATGAGACACGATACATTCTTCATGTACACTTGGCTTTAAGGGTCTAGCTATGAATGAATTCCTCCCACTCGGAGAGTCTGTGCAGTCCATTACTGAATAACTATTTCTTCTTTACTACCCTGACCCTCTCCCTGCCTTATCTGTGGTGTTGTCATCCTAGTTCCCAGCAAACCCCACGTCAAGGTCAGTTCTCCTCTTCGATGATGTGTCTGTTTAACACGTAGGCTTATCAATGATGATGTGTCTGATTGGTTCGGAAAGTGTGATGCTCCCATATGCTCAGGGTTTTCTGTAGATTTTTTTCCTTTGCAAACCGTTTTGTGTTGTTACTAAAACGTTTTCGATGGAGAGGCCAAAGATGTGAATGTTGTGTAGAGATGCAGTTCAAGGAACGCATTACTGTAGTCAGCTTACCAAGGACAGGTACCGGTAATCCCTTATGATTACACATTTCCAGTGTGTAATCACACTGCTTTTACCATCCGTTGGTTCATTACTGTACATGATTATATCAATTTGTGCACCTCCGATTAGCACAGTTGGAAACAAACGGTGCGAAAGAAGTTCAACATACATGCATACAATTTAAAATTTTACCGCAAAAGTGGGAAATAATTGTGTCAACAGCTTGGTAATACGAGGAAAGTGGCAGCAGTCAATACATATGGATCATTGTACAAAACCTACAGTCGTAGCAGCACAGTGATGTTATTTCTGAGATTAAATCAGTATAATATTTTCCAGCAGTGGCGCTGCTTGCTTGTAAGTCATTGGTTGGTGAATCGCATACATTTGTCAAGTTCCCAAACCCAGTGGGTTGCGAGGTGGTCGGAATATAACAGGACAGATTGGTTCATGAACTCATCTGCGTGGATCTTTAGAGTGTTAACCCCTCATATGCCTTATGGGGTTTTTTTTCCATGTACTCTGTTGCCTCCCACACTCAAACATTTTCTTGGAAATGATTTGCTTAACCATACCAATGCAGGAGCCTTCTTAAAAATATTATTTATACTTGTTAAAGCTAGACATAAATAAATCACATTATTTTATTTTTGAGGTGTACGCCTTTTGGCGTCTTCTGGTCCAACACCAGTGGAGACTGGGCTCTAAAAAAAGCCGTCTCGGGTGTGGACCAATCAAATTCAAGGACAGTGCATATTATCAGAGTTGTCTTTTTTGTTTGCATTTTGACTACTTGTGTTGTGGTTATTGCAAACATGATCCCTTGTATAAAGGTGTCAGTTTTTGTGCCAGATAAAAGGGTAAAAACCTATTACTAAATCACATTATTATCAGGTGTACATTTGAAGAAGGTATTAACAAAGATAATCAAGTAATCAGATGATACAACATTGACAATACCAAGCCCAGGATTACCTTACCTTACTTTTAAAACCTGTAAGTGGTATCTGGACACTCAGCACCACATTTGTGATTGCCTGTTAGAATGAGAGTGTGTGACAAACTAACCTCTTAACCTTTTGACCCTGGTGTCAGGTGACAGTCATGGAGGGCACAGTGGCGCTGGTTGAGTGGGAAGAGCCAGAAGTGACATTTGGGCCTCTCTTGGACTACAGACTCACTTACAAACGCATGGATGCAGGTAGTACTTACACATGTTATAATATATGCATATCTAGATACATCAGTGGGTAGGGAACCTATAGCTTTTTATTTCCAATATTTGTGACCTGGCAACATGGTGTTTCTAATGTTTGTGTTATCAGTCACTTTTGTCACACCAGGGACCTTGTACAGTGATACGTTAATAAGGTGCGTGTTAATTAACAGGTTAATAAAAATAATACCAGGTTTTGTTTACCGTCATAGGGAGGAAAGGAACACTGTGTATTAACAGACATGCTTAATTTAAGTATTTTTCTCACTAACAAAGATTACAAGTCATGGGATAGCCAGGAATACACGGCCTAGATGCATAGCTATTACATAATCACCCTTTGTTGTTTGGGTTGCATCTTAAACACATATTCCGAACACCCTCCTCTCTTGTACCACAGCCACTCAAGCGTCCACCCTGTACCTCGCGGTGTCCGAGTCTAGTGTCACTGTGCGCAACCTGCATCGCGGGGCCTCCTACTCGTTTGTCATGGTGGCACGGAGTGTGGGCGGGGTGAGCGGAGGCAGTCTCTTGGGCGAGGAGGCGGTGATTACAGTGGTAACGCCCGAGGCTCCGCCGTCAGCTCCGCCGTTGAACGTGAGTGTGGGGCGCATGGGCCGCTCGGCGGCCGCGCTCCATTGGGAGCCTCCACCCCTGGACTCTCGCAATGGAGTGATCGTAAGGTATACGGTGCTTTACCGAGCCCTGCCCATTGGAGGAGTAGGACATCGTGAGGGTACAGGAGCAGAGAGAGCAGAAGGAAGTATTGCTGGAGATGGAAGAGGAAAAGGAGATTACAAAGCAGGTGGAGTTTCTCAACGTGGTGGAAGAGGTACTAGAGGTACAATTTCTGAAGGTGGAAGAGGTCCTGCAAGTGGAGGTGAACGAGGAGGTCATGAAGGTGGAGGAAGAGGTTCTGCAGGAGTAGGTAGAGGAGTTCCTGGGGGTCCAGGCAGTGGAGGCCCTGGTGTTGGAGGATCCGGTGGAGATTCTGAAGAAGGAGGAGATGTTGCGGCGGAGTCCTGGGATGGGGAGCTTCATGTCGTCGGTGATACCACAGCCGTGGTGCTGAGCGGCCTCCAGCCAAACCGGAGCTACGAGGCGCGAGTGAGGGCACACACCGAGGCTGGGCCGGGGCCCCTCAGCGATGCCGTGCACTTTCGGACACTCTCCAATGAAGGTGGTGCGTGTGTGTGTGGCGTAGTGCTTACAACATTGCTATCTAAGCCCAGTGATCTCAATTTAATTTCCAGCCGTGGAAAACAACAGTGGCGAATGCCTGAACTTTTACTAGGCCTCCCCTAGGTTGACTTAAATGAGTACCTGGTGCGGTGCGTAAACCTTAGTTTTGCACGTACAAACGCGGCCAGGGGTGGTGCTGGTCACACCACCTCCTTATGTGCCGTGCCAGCCTTAATAGGTGTCACTTACAACACTTTTTAAACAGTCTGTATGGCCATAAGGGGGATCTTTATGTTTGTTTATGTGGTGTGTGTGTGTCTTTGTTTCTGTGGGCTAAGTTGGCTGTGAAGGGGCAGAAGGACCATAAGCTGAGTGGCCGTAGTAATTATAGGGCTTGGAGCTAAGCAGACTCCCTATAGAACTGAACATGTAGTCATTGCGTAAAACACCGAGAATGAAATATTTTTTTTTACGTGGCCCTTTCTGTTTATATCATTGAGAAGGGTAATTTTCACTTCACGTGTTTTGTGCAACTGGCTACTGATTCTGAGTAGACTTGGATAAAAGGAGACTTGAAGCTGAATGTACCGGGTTAATATCTGGGCCTAAGTGGACTTCTTGACAACTGGTACCAGTTATGCCAGTATTGGTACCGTTGAGGGGGCTTGTGAAAAATTCTACTGGATGGCTGGTGGTAGGTGCCCTCAATGAATAAGATGGCTAAAATACAGCGAGTGTGGGTGGTGCATCTTGAAGTCACCTTGGTCTGTTTTCTATCCACTCATAGCCTGAAAGTCAACTTGGAGTATGTAATATGGTCAGGAAGAGCTTGTAGAGGAATGTTGGTTGTTGCTGCTGTTGTTGTAGCAGGCGGATTTGCCATGAATTTCCGCATTAAAGCCATGATGCCGACATCAGTCCTGCTGTCCTGGGAGGTCCCTGATTCTCCAGGGTCAAACGAACGACTACAGGTGATCACCCCACCACGACATGCCACAAATCACCTCTCCATACAAGGACACACTACACCGCACACACTGCAACTCACCACACCAAGCCACGCAGCAACACACCACAACATATCATGCCAAATCACCCCTCGATCCACCATTCTACACCATGGGATACCACCATAACATATTACACCAAACTACAGCATGACACACCCACACACACACCACCTCATCTAACCTGTCAAAGGCATTTTTTGTCTGTCTGACTGTGTGTGGCCGAAACTTGCAAGGGATTTGGCTCACGAACCGTGGGGTTTATGTTTTTTTAAAAGTACCCAGCTAGCACGCCATAAGCTCCGTGGTGAGCCAGTGCTATTCCGATTTCGCATCCGTCGCCGTTAAAGTAGTTTGATTCGCGATTTAGTGCTGTTTTTGTTTTTTTATTTATTACGTCACGCCTCCGAGCACGCGCCAAAGCACCCATCTGCGCATGCGCGGCCCTACCAAGTGACATGCGTTTAGTGGGGGGGAGGGCCCCTACCAAGTCACATGCGTTTGGTGGGGGGGAGGGCCCCTACCAAGTCACATGCGTTTGGTGGGGGGGAGGGCCCCTACCAAGTCACATGCATTTGGAGGGGCGGAGGGGGCAATTTCCATTCGTGTGGACACTGCGCAAGGTAACACACAGCTCCCTTCAAACTATTTATTACCATCACTGTTTACTCATTACTATTCATCTTGCCTCTTATTCCCCACAAACTTTGCTTTTGCGACCACGTCTTTACGTGAGGGAATTACACTTATGCACACGTTTTCTCTTTTAAAATAGGTACCTTTCTAAATATCACTGTCCAGCCTTTTTCTGTACTCTTGAGCCATAAGCAGCCACGTAATATCACTGACTGCACAGGGCCAAACAAATGAATATACTGATTGCTATTACGCCTTCATTCTCACATATTTACACTTGCCCCCCCAGTACGGGGGTTCAGCGTTGACGTGTCAATTAATACTCTTTGGTTCTTTCGGTAAAGTCACGTAGGTAGAAAATAAATAAATCACAACGTTTCAATCGTAACACAAGCAATCGTCATCGGGTGAAAAGATACAGCAGTAGAACTGCTGAACAAGAAAGAGCTGCTGCAACAAGAGGTTATATGTATAGGTTTGAGGTCGGTGTCACCCAAGGGTAAGTAGGCGGGGTCAGAGATGGAGTCCCGTCGCCGCACGCACGCACAGCAGCTGCGTTAATGGGAGAGATTGGCATGTTAATGTTAACGAGTTTAATGGGAAGATAGCATGTCTGTGTCAGAGGACTGGACATAGCGCCACCTCGTGGGCAACACAAGCTGCGGTGTTGATTGCTGCACAGTGAGAGGCCAGCGTATCAACGCAAGAGAACCACCGTAACTGTGGCCATGTCAGTGAGACGTACAGTCTATTAAACAGTGAGAGCTACCGTTACATCGAGGCAAAAGGGAGCAGCGGTGACTATTTAAGTGAGACCTTAATCTGTTAATGTAAATACATTTAACAAATTTCGATTTAAAGCTTTCGTGACTGCAATGATTCATTTTCTTTGGTTCTTTCGGTAAAGTCACGTAGAATGAGAATAAAATAATAAAATAAAATAATTTTATTATACATTTAACAAGGTGATGTAATTCAGAGTCAGAAATAACTGCTAAACAATGGCAGGAAGGATGGAAACATCACAGCAAATTATGACTTTACCTGGTTAATAACCTCCTTCCAATGATTGCTCAGTTTGTACCCATCTTCTCGGTTGAAATTGTGTCTGTGTTTATATATCTGGATGGCTTCATCGACAAATCTTTGATGGTAGCCCGAAGGTTTGCAGAGTACCTTGGTCTCGGAAAAAGCAATATCATGCGAGCCCACAGCGTTATAATAATGGTCAGCTACGGCAGAGGTATTGGTTCTGCCATGTTTCAGATATGCCTTGTGTTCGCGAACACGGTCCAAAACATGTCGTCTCGTTTCCCCGATGTAACTGCTACCGCAGACACAAATTAGTCTGTAGACACCAGGGTATTGCATGTCTGGAATTACATCCTTCACAGATGGGATCAAATCACGGATTTTGTGTACTGTGTTGAATCGAACCTGGATCTTGTGTTTATTCAAGATTTTGGAAATATTTTTGGTAACACCTGCTATGTAGGCAAGGTGATGGTTTTGATTGGGTCCTCAGATGGTTCTCTCCCCATGGTTGGGGATACAGCTTTGCGGACTGTGCGGTTTGAATATCCATTCATCTTAAGGGCTTGGTGTACGTGCTCCAGCTCACTGGCTAGGTGTTGCTGGTCGGAGATGCGACGTGCCCTATGGTGTAGTGTTTTGATGAGGGAGTTCTTCTGGGCTGGATGGTGGTGGGAATCAGGCTTTAGATAGGAATCCGTGTCGCTAGCTTTCCTGTAGACAGAATGTCCCAACGAGCCATCAGGTCTCTTCTCGATAAAAACATCCAGGAATGGTAGCTTGCCATCATTTTCTACTTCCATGGTGAATTTGATGGATGGGTGTATGGAATTGATGTGGTTGAAAATTGGTCCAGTGCTGTCTGGCCATGTGGCCAGATGACGAACGTGTCATCTACATATCTTTTCCACAAGGAAGGACGTTGAGTGGATGTCAGGATGGCATCTGTTTCAAATTTCTCCATGAAAACATTCGCTACCACTGGCGACAAGGGAGAACCCATAGAAGTCTCTCTCTCTCTCTTGTGTCTCTTTGTCTGTATGTGTGTCTCTCTATCTGTGTGTCACTTTGTGCGTGTGTCTCTATCTGTGTTTGGGTGTGTCTTTCTGTGTGTGTCTCTCTCTCTCTGGGTGTGTCCCTCTGTGTGTGTCTCTGTGTGTGTCTCTCTCTGTGCATCTCTCTCTCTGTGTGTCTCTCTAGGTGTGTCTCTCTCTATGTGTCTCTCTGTCTCTCTCTCTCTTTGTCTCTGTGTGTGTGTCTCTCTCTACCTACGTGACTTTACCAAAAGAACCAAAGAGTATTACTTATTATACACGCGTGCATTTTCCCTCTTCCTTGGTTCTTTCCCTAAAATCACGCAGATAGAAAACTATTATTTAAAAAGAAAAGTAAAAATGTGTGCGTGTAAGTCGATGTGTGCGTGTGTAAGTCCATTTGCGTCTGTGTGTTCGTCCATGTGTGTGTGTGTAAATAGATGTGTGTGTGTTGGTGGATGTGTGAGTGAGTCGATGTATGTGCGTTTGAGTCGATGTGTGTGTGAGTCCATGTATATATGGGTGTTTGAGTCGATGCGTGTGTGTCTAAGTCCGTATGTGTGTGAGTCCATATGTGTGTGTGTAAGTCCATGTGTTTGCATGTGTGTGTCCATATCTGTGTGTGTGTGAGTCGATGTGTGTGTGTGTGAGTCACTGCGTGTGTGTGTGCGCAAGTCGATGTATGTGTGTGTGTACATCGACATGTGTATGTAAGTCCAAGTGTGTGCGTACATCCGTGTGTGTGTCAGTCCATGTGTGTGTGAGTCGATGTATGTGTGTGTCAGTCGATGTGTGTGTGTGTGAGTCAATGTGTCTTTGTGCGAGTCGATGTGTTTATGTGTGTGTAAGTCCATGCGTGTGTGTAAGTTGATGTGTCTGTCTGTGTGTGAGTCGATGTGTGTATGTTTGTGAGTCCATTTGTGTGTGTGTGTAAGTCGATGTGTGTGTGTGGAAGTCGATGTGTGTGTCTGAGTCGATGGGTGTGACTCGATGTGTGTGTGTACCTCGATGTATGTCTGCATGTGTCAGTCCATGTGTGTGCGTGTAAGTCGATGTGTGTGTGTGCGAGTCGATGTGTGTGTGTAAGTCGATGTGTGTGTGTCTGAGTTGATAGGTGTGAGTGGATGTATGTGTGTGTGTACGTCGATATATGTGTGTGTGTATGTCCATGTGTGTGTGTGTGAGTCCATATGCGTGTGTGTTAGTCCATATGTCTGTGTGTGTGTAAGTACATATGTCTGTGTGTCTAGGTCAATGTGTGTGTGCGTCTGTGTGTGTGTGTTTAAGTCGATGTGTGTGTGTGTGTTTTATTTTATTTGTGTGTGTCTCGGCGGTGTCGCGGTAAACGCTCTGCACCACGAACCCGGCGACTCCAGCTCGATTCCCGGTCATGGCCAACACCGGTGACGATTAATTGAACCGGTCCTAAGCCTCCCCTAGGTGGACCCAGCTTCTGCTGAGTGCTCACGGGAGCGAGGCTTTCCCTCGCGTACAAAATGCCCAAAAGAAAAAAACAGGCCTCTCCAAAATAAAAAAACACGCAAAGAGATTGCCGCTGCTGCACATAAAACAAACGGTGCAGGAGCAGCAACTTCCCCAAAATAACAACGAAGGCACCTCAGTAGCACAGGCTGAGGGGACTCAAGAGCACCGTTCACGAAACCAAGCTACAGACTGCACAGCCACTGCTGCAGCCAAAGCTGAGGTACACCCTCAACAGCATGCATTCACTGCAACAGCACGGATTGCAGAAAACCCTGACTATCGTGCATCTCGACAAGCCAGGGCCCGCACAGTCACTGCAGCAGCACTGACTCAGGAAAATCCTGTTCAGCGTGCATCTTGACAGGCCAGGGACTGCACAGTCACTGCATCAGCACCGGCTGAGGAACCACAACATCAGAAAACGGCTTGCCAGAGCCAAGTCTGTCATGCTGCTGCATCAAGAGCAAGAAGAAATAACCCGGACTGGAACAGAGCTGCTTTAAATTACCAACCAGAGATCAATTATCAATCCATGCTGATATTAGGCTATATGTCAATTACTTGTGCAGAATGTGGTGCTAAAAATGGAAAGGAGAAACTAAGGGAATGTGCTGCAGTGATGGAAAACTCAAACTTTGCCTTGTGCAGATGCCCCCGAACCACTGAAATCCTTGGTATCTGGCCACTAAATACTTTCTGACCAACATCAGCAAGTACAATTCTTGCTTTCAAATGACTTCTTTTGGTGCAACTAAGGAAATAGTGGAGCCAGGATTT